AGAATAAAGAAATAAATAAACTCATCATAGATACCAGGATTGAAATTTGGTATTTGCGCCAGACGCGCGTTTAATCTACAAAAGACTCATCAGTGACGCTAGAATCAAAAAGAGTTTAAAAAGCCAAAAAAAGTACGAAGTTGAAACAATTGATTTGGTATCAAGGAAATTAAAAAACGACCAGGATGAACTTTTCAATCCTTTAGATAAACATATTCTTAAAGGTTACCAGTTCAACACTGTAATTCTTTCTTAGAATATTGTTTCTATTAGTATAAAAACGATTTGATCAGTAAATTAAAACCATACTTAATATTATTGTTATACACATATGCACATTCACAGTACTACAATATGTCGATACCTATATTTTGGAATTGCACAAAGTCATTTCTTTCTCTGACTGCTAATGACGGGTTTACACTAAATCCATCGGATGTTTGATGTGTACTTGTTGATATTTTAGTCTTATACATATGATATTTGTATTTGTTGTTATTTGCATTGAACTAGATGTCAGTAACTGCGAGGACTCTCAGATCTCATCAACTGTCTGTTATGTTGTGGGAAGTATAGATACGCTGTCACGCCCGGTCTGTGTTTTCTTTGGATGTTTTCTGTTTTGTATCGATCTGATGAGTTGAGAATTTTTCAACTGATTTTTACGATTTGTTCTTATGTTAAACTGGTACACCACTGTCCCATGTTAGGGGAGGTGTTAGTGCCAGCAATCTAGTTTAACCGGCCACATTCAATATGTGCTTATCCTAAGTCAGAATCCTTTAGTTCAGTGGTTGTCGTTGATTCATGTCTGTCAACTTTGTTTTTCGTTGATTGTTTTGTTACTGTAGTATGTGGATATTTTCATAGAATATTAACATTTTCCATTAAATTTAAATGACTTGAAGATAACAATGTGTATATTTTTCTCCTAAATCTGCTGATGCCATGCTTCATGAATTTGATGATTTGTATCGGTTGATATAACAACTTGGGTCGTTGAAACTGAAGAGAGGTAAATTTGCTCATAAATATAAATGGTGATTGTATCTTTAATTCGTTTGTATTTACTTACTTTTGATTTAAATTTGGTGTTTTTTTAGACAAATGTATTCATAGTTTAACATGTTTGACCTTGGCAAGCGTGCATGTGTTAACCTTAGTATCTATACCAAATCAATTATGTAGTCTTCTCCTGAAAGACCATTGTTGCGCATATGCAGTGCAGTTGAAATCATGAAAGCATTAGAATTACGTAAATAACTTTTCTTAAGACAGTGTATATATATATATATATATATATATATTTCAATTTCTGATTGCACTTATCTTTATGATTTTGATAAGATAATTAGATATAACATTATGTACCCAGTCTTTGAAGTTAAGAGCAAATTTTAGTCGGCTTGGAGTCAGAAAAGTGTCTTTGAGAAAGTGACACATCTTTCTACGGAATAAAAACGTTGTGAACTAGCATGCTGAAATTTCTGATTTCTGTCGATTTGTTACACATGTTACAGAGCAGCATTCACAATCTTATCACATAAACGTGTTTTCGTCCACATAATCATGATATATTTGTCCCTTGACGTTAAAGTCCAGTGCATCCAACCGTGCATCTTCGAGATGATAAGTTAAAGAGAGCATTTATTATAACAAATGTCCCTTGTCATACAACGCATTTAAAAATACCAATTAGTTTATTACTGTGGATTCATTTGTTTTTCGTGTGTACCAATTTTCGTGGATTGATGAACCTGCATTTTAAAGGATATTTGATTCCGTGGTTTTGCCAAAGTCTGCATACTACCCTATAGCAAATTTGCAGTTGAACATTAAGAACTATTATTTTTTCACTGCCTGTTAATTTTCTAAAATGTTTGAAAGATTATGCGCTTGACAAAGGATGCATAAATACATTTTCTCCAGTATACAGACTTGTCAGTAAACGTTGTGATGTAGCTCTTTTCCGTCTATTTAAACCTTCAGATCGAAACCTTTACATGAGGAAAAGAGGAAATTCCTTCCTGTTCAGTTTACCAATAGAGAATTGATGCAATCAACATCAGCAACGTTCTACATCACAAAAAGGTAACATCTAAAATTCCACTTTATTTTCAAAATCAGTCTGTTCCTATTGTATCCTACAGTTACACCAAAACCAAAGTATTAAACTATAAACAAGCATTGCAGGACCTTGATTAGGAACAATATCTTAAAAACCCTCTGACATGTGACTGTTCTCACTCGCCTTATATTTACAACCCCTCTGGCCATGTTATTACTGGGGATCTAAACATAATTCTACATGAAAATCTCCGAAAGGTGATATCTCAAGGTCCTAAGTTTAGAGAACCCCAACACATCAATTGGAACCATAACTTCAAAATAATTATGAATTCCATTGAGGACTACACCAGAGCATGGGCTAAACGAGAAGAAGTTGAACTGGACACTTTGTCAGAATGGGTCAAAACAATCAGGTCTCTGATAACACGTCGCATTCATAAGTTGAAAAGCTGTGTGAATGATCAGAGACAAAGAGGCTGTGAAATGTCTATAATCTCTTCACGATAAGTATGTTGTTGTTCCTGCGGACAAAGCTTGAAATAATATTGTCTTTATATGTAAATCGTACTACTACGAGTGTCTTGTAAAAGAATTAGGAATAAATAAGCACTCAGGTAATCCCACATACAAAAACATATCATTCGACAAGGATGAGATTTTTGAGAATCATACGTCCTTCATGACTTCAATGAATATTACATTGTACAACAAATCGGAAGACTTACCTTGTTTGTATAAGATACCTAAACTTCACAAAATTCCGTAAAAGCAACGGTGCATTGTCGGCTCATCTGCATGTTCGACTAAAGAATTACCCATTAGATTGACAAAAATTCTGTCCGCAGTGAAAGATGGTCTTTTTGTATTCTTGTCTTTCATTTTTGCTAATATGCTTTGTCTATATGCCTTTTTGTGTTTCTTTGTTACATATGACGTAGCGCTGTACTTATACATCCCGTCATTGTTATTGTGCCATGGTAACATGTTTGTTTACATATTTGTTTGTTTTTATAGTGATTAAGATAATAACACAATGTTGACAGCTGTACCCCTATTTTTGACATTTTTACCTATTATGTCTGTTTGTTTTATTCACACATCGTTGTCAATCTAATGGAATTTTATGCGACTGTCATACAAGTGAGAGGTTTAGATAGCTATAAAACCAGGTTTAATCCACCATGTTCTACATAAGAAAATGCCTGTACCAAGTCAGGAATATGACAGTTGTCCATTCGTTTGATGTGTTTGAGCTTTTGACATGTTTGATTTTGTCGTTTTGAATTTTCCTCTGGGTTTAGTATTTTTGTGATTTTACTTTTTAAATAAGTAGTTAACCTGTACCCACAAAATCCACGAAAATTGGTATATAATGAATAATAATGAATCCACAGTATGTGATAACAGCTCAACGCATATAGTTATACCGTTTTCGCCATTCATCTTTTATCCTTAACCAATGTTCTATTAAGATCGATTTCTCGTTAAATTAATAACAGTTATAGAAATTCGTCAAATCATTAAAATAAGAAGCCAAGAGTACAATATTGTTAAGTTGGTTTTTATTCAATACCGTTTCAATGTATTTATCAATTTGACTTAGAAGTTCATTTTCCATGTTGCATAATTCCAAGCTGAAATTAAGATCGATGATATACTTTTTTTAATAATTAATTAAAATAAAAACACAAAAAAATTCCATATTTTGACGAAGAATGATATTTCAATAGTTTACAGTTTGGAAAATCACAAATCCACTTAATAACGTACCATCCGAACGGTACTAATGAAAATTTTCTTTCAAAAACCGATCACGTGACGTAAAAAATACCCGCTTGACCGTTTACACTGCAAATTAGCAAACGTGTCCTAGCTTGATTGAAACTAAGTGTTCTCGGATATTGAATGGTAACGAGCTTTATCGCTTTGTGTTTGCCTCCATCGGGGGAGATCAAAATAATGTTTTCACCGCCCTCATTCCCGACATACACGACTGCAGTTTTATCAACAGCTATACCGCGTGGTCCTCGCAACGCTTTGTCATTGAATTCCCAAGCAAGTGTTTTATCACCATTGTAGCATTGAATGGAAGGACCTGCAGTATTAGTGCAGTACAGTTTTCCATCATGCACTGCAACATATGAATCAGTTGTTTTACTTCCAATATCAAGCTTAATTAAAGTGTCATTATCGAGATTAATTGATAATAGTCCTTTTTTACTTGAACTGCATATCAAGTTCCCACCGGAAAGGGATATTCCGTCACATCGATTCGAATGCTCTATAGTTTACACAACAGATCTGATTTTTAGGTTGACGATTAAGATGTTACCTCCTCCAGCTGTTGCAGCTAATGCCTCATCGTTGACACACACGATGTCATATGGTTTTTCAGGTAGAACAATCGAGTGTAACAAAACTCCATTAGTGTTTTTCACATTTAAGGTTTTTGAGTTATAATCAGTATAACATACAATATTATTTTCCAAAATTGCACATCCGTACATGAACATTTCTACCCCAAAGTAAAATTCTGCCATCAATTTTAGTTTGATATCATCAAACTTTCGTCCCTCAATTGAGATCTGTGCCTAGTGTTCTTTAGGCTTCGTGTAACTAATTGTTGATGGTTTCATCTCTATTCCAAAATCACCGAAGGAACTTACATCAGAGGTAAAAGCTGAAAGTTTTATATTTTCTTTAAAAACAATACGTCTTATGTCAAGCGAATGATCTTTTGTAAATTCTTTTTCCCGGGTACTTATTTCAAACTCGAATTTCTTCGTTCCGAGAAATATCTGAAGTTCTGACGCATGATTTTGCATTTTTATGATGCCTTTGTTTAACTCATCTAATCTGTCCTCCTTATATTTCAAATCTCTTGAAATTCTCTCAAAATCTTGCAGTGCATTTTTTTCAAGATCTGATACCTTCTGAAGAACTTCTTTTTCTAAACAGTCTAAATATTGATTCAATTTAAGTCGGGTGGACTTAACATGCTCAATAATTGTGTTCGACTCAGCCTGTATTTCATTGGTATTTGACTGTTTTTCCAGACGAAGACGCTCATAATACTTTTTTAGATTCTGCAGACGCTCTTTAATGTCTTCTAATGCTATTGAATTACGAGCATCTTTGGTTATATCTTCTAGAGTAGGCATATCTGTGCAGTTTTTATGGGTCAAATTGATACATTTTCTACAACATGGTCGTTCATGACTTAAGCAATAATTCTGGAAAAGTGCCCCATGATCTTCGCAATGCTGCTTTATTTTCAGTACGAATTCAGGCAACTTTTTTAAATCACTTACATAAATAACAGCGTGACTTTTTGGTTGACTTAGCGTTGCTTTGGTACTTTAGGCAGTCATGACAAAATGCTCAATCACATTCGAACCACCACTTCACAGCAGTTTTTACAATGGACTGTGACTCACAAACAGTACATTTTGTACTTTTTTTCTGCAGCCATCTCTGTAAATGAAAACAAATGATAACGATAACATGCAGCTTTGATATTATACAAGTATGGAGATAACCTGTACACATGCATACATCTATTACAGCTAGTATTGTGCTGCTTCATATAGATATATTTCTGAGCATGTGTACGGATCTGATATCATGTCACAATTTTACCGAATGTACCGTCATTTGATAGATTCATAATGCATTTCAGCAAATGTACGAATCTTTGAGAAATCGGTTAAATAAACTCATTATAGATACCAGGATTGAAATTAAATATTTACAACAGACGTGCGTTTCGTCTACAAAAGACTCATTAGTGACGCTCGAACAAAAATGTTAAAAGGCCAAATAAAGTACGAAGTTAAAGAGCATTAAGGCCCAAAAATTCCTGAAAGTTTTGCCAAATACAGTTAAGGTAATCTATTCCTGAGGTAGAAAAGCCTTAGTATTATAAGTTTTGTAAACAATTAATTTGTTATTTTGACCATATCAACGATAATTCATGTCAACACTGAAGTGCTGACTACTAGGCTGGAGATACCCTCGGGGAATAAAACCTCCACCAGCAATGGCATCGACGCAGGGGTTGTAAATAAACTCATCATATATACCAGGATTGAGATTTTATAATTGAGCCAGACGCGGGTTTTGTCTATAAAAGACTCATAAGTGACGTAAGTGACGCTCGAATTAAAAAAATGTTTTACACCCTGAGAAATTTTTGCCTCTTGATATCGTCATCCTCTCCAATTTATTTTTTTATTTACTTCAATATTTTAATTTATTATGGACAAACTATTTCACTTTCTCTTAACTTATAAACGTATAGTGTTGTTATGTGAGCTGTTCCTACTTCATATATAGAATTTCAACATTTGAGAAAGTTGAATGCTAGAAATCAGTTTAAATTGCCACATGTTCACGTGTATCTTTATATGTTTGACTTTCTTAGTAGCTGTTTAGATTCTAGCTTATGTAATTTGGATTGAATCAATTTAAGGAAATTGAGCGTTGAAGGCTTATCTCTTAAATAATGATACAAAACAGTACATTCACAGCAAACAAAACCACATATATAAAATCTAGGTATCAAATGGAAGGCGAAGGACTGTTGATTCTTGTAGTACACAATTTGACGGATGATTTTGAATGATACAAAAAATGTTTCAATGAATTCTAAAATTAAAGGCATATATTTTCTGATTCTCAGATATCAAATACATGGTTAGGAGTGTCCAAAGTTTCGGTAACCAGTCTTTGTTCAATTGATTTTACCCTCAGATACATTTATAAAGTATATTGTAGATTTTCATTTTAGTATGCATTTTGATCAATGATACACGTATTTAGGAATGAAAAAGATTCAGTTAACTGTGACGAATAAACGTAAATAAGATTTATTTATTTGATGTCTTAAGTCGAACTTACCAGAAATAATAACCGAATTTGTGATTACAAGTTAGACCATGTCATGCAACCTAACATCCTTGATTGCATGTGTACATACAAGTAATAATAATCATGTGATCGTTGTGTTGTGTATGTCGACTAGAGATAACATTCAGGCCTACCTGTGTGTGTTTTAAATCTATATTCGTTTATTACAAATAATAAACAGTAAAGCAGCAAAATGTGAATACACTGAATATTCATTATGTGAACAGAATATTCATAATGAGAACGTATCGGCGAGTGACATTTTTGATTAGATTTCTTATCTAATGATTTGAATGCACCTTACATACTGCTTAACGAAAGCTTCTTAAAAAAATTTAAAATAGAAAGAATGTGTAAACGGCATGCGTCCTAAACGCTTTTCTGGGTAAAGCTTTATCAAAAGTGTACACAACCGAATATTCGAATGAAAGCCAAGAATGTGTAAGAACCAAAACAGCTGAAGACCCCTACGACAAAAAGAAACATAAAAAATATCTAAATCAATCTAAGATAAACTTTACCCGAGGGATTTCAAACCTAAGCTTGTTATAATTTCAAAATTATTTAACAATAATAACAATAATTAATAAATGTACTACATTTTTTGCAACATACATTCCTAAATTTTGCATACGTTAGACAAAGTACTTTTCTGGTTCTTCTGAAATTTTCTTAAACTCATATGAACCACATTGCATATCGAATAGAATAAAGCAATTCTAAATCAAACGCTGTCTTGAAATTTAATCGCGATATATTAACAGAAAAGTACAAGTTTTAAATACTCCTCAAATAATAATTTAACTGCTGTAAAAGCAAAATATTTCTTGGGGGAGGGGAGCTCTATTAATATAACAAAATAAAGTTCTTTTGTCGTTTGTAGGTCAAGGAAAATGTTGCACTTATTATGAACTGCAATTGATGTAGATTGCTTTTAAAACAGTCTTCCATTGAATCCGTGGATACCACCGACATTATAATATCTGTTTCATATCTTGATTGTTTCCTCAACATTGACAAAGATGTTGATGTACTGGTGGTACCCGTTGTGTTACTCTAAAAAGGTTGATTTGTTTTATTAGTCCAATGATTCGGCATCTTCGCGACACGACGGTTGCCATATATATAGCACATAATATCAATGCCAGTTTTTGGTGTGGTTTGTTTTCTTTATTGTGTTTTTTAGACTGTTCATTGTCTTTTGTTTCGATGGCATTGTCATTTCTGTTTCGACTTAGGAGTTTAAATATCCTTTGGTTTATTTTGCCTCTCTTGGAATATATAAAATGAACGATTTTTATTTGATTGTTTTCCTTGATATTTTAATTAACACATATAGACAACTTTAAACTAGAATCGATTTCAAACAGGATTATTTCCCCAACTTACTAACGACACATTTTGCGCAGTCGTATATTTGTGATATCAGTAAAATCGCCAAATCTTTAATGTCACCAGTTGTGAGATGTTCTCGATTGTTACATTCAGACTGATTGTTGATTCTGGTGGTAAATGATGCATGCATAGCAAAATTGACGTATCCTGTATATACACTCGGGCTTGATACTTTTGGAGTTTATACAATTTCCTGAAATTGCAATTTCAGGTGATAAATCTGATCAAGTTTTGAATAATAAAGGCAACAGTAGTATACCGCTGTTCGAAATTCATAAATCGATTGAGACAAAAACAAATCCGGGTTGAAATTTTCCATACAATTAGATTCATAATGATAAAAAAAACTTAAAGCTACTTATGATTTTATTGATTATTGCAATTAAGACAAAACATGATTTTTAATACCTAAGCTCACATATTGTTTGTCAAACATTTGAGGTAGTGATTAACACTTGTAAACATATGTATATGTCAATTATGTCTCCACCGACAATAAAACTATTTGATCATTTATTTTTCATTGTTCGTTCGGTCCTTTTTGTAAATTGAAAATATGCACTTGGCTAAAATGTTTATAAAACAATGTTATTTCTTTCACAGATAGTCTATGCTATCAATCAATACACATGTTATATGGCTCCTTGTGTAAGTTCTCAATAACATGAATATGATACAGAAATAAAAAAAACACACAATTATTTACAAAATCTTGCTTTTTATGCGAAGATAAAAAAAACTAATAAAAAGCACAGAATACAATTTTATCATAAGTAATCAAGAGAAATCATGATTAATTAAAAGAAAAGTAATATATGCATCGATTGCATTTGAATTGAGGTAAGTAGTTGTAATTTATTCAATTACTTTTTAAAGTAATCAACCCAATCCCTGAACGGAACGGAACGAGTAAACCAACTGTATATTGCTGAATTGGTGGAGTCAATGATAGCCATTAATACATTTCCTCTATGGATCGACCTTCTGCTTATGAGTTTATAGTTCTATCTCTGTTTCCGGCTAGTTGTTACAGACACATATATCTGTTATCGGTGATGTCACTAACTATAATTCGTTGGGCTTCTTGTTTGCAATGTAGGTCGGGTTTGGACGGATGGACGAAGTATGGAAATAACTTCTTAAGCGCTTTCCATGATAAGCTATCACCAGCATACTCATTTAAGAACATTCAAAATACTATTATGTTCAAATACCTGATTATATGGCAAGCTTGATGACCAAAATAAAAAACAAAGGCAATTTCACCTGAGGTCATTTTTATCCAAGTGAGTCGTAGTCTCAAACTCAATTCGTAATTGCTTAAGCCAAATCAGTATAGTTGCATAAAGTTTGTTTCTTATATATGTTTAACTTAGCTGTGTAGTATCGTCTATTAAAGATTTGTTGGTCGGACGATTTTGTAGATCTTTGTTGATTGGTCTAATCATAACCATTGGCCAACTTTAATTTTAAATAAAAGCAACTTTGTTTGTTTTTTTGTTTGTGTTTATTTTTTTGTCAAGTGTGTTGTATGTCTGTGATGCAACTTTACACAGTTTTTACGGCTGGATCCCAATTATTATCACATTAACCTATTATGTTTGTTGGGATGCTCTACAAATTTTGTAAATATAACGAAAATATAAGCAACTATCTTACAAGTGTATTGATTAACAGCTAGTTAATCCAGCTGACGGGTGCCACATGTGGAGCAGGATCTGCTTACCCTTCCGGATCACCTGAGATCACCCCATTTTTTGGTGGGGTTCGTATTGTTTAGTCTTTAGTTTTCTATGTTGTATATTTTGTACTATTATTTGTCTTTCCGTCTTTTTCTTTTTTAGTCATAGCGTTGTCA